TTTTTTCATTAGGACATCTCCCGTGCTAGTTTTTCCATATTTTCCATACTCACACTTGCCCTTGCATAGTCATTGCATGCTTGCATACTCACACTTGCATACTTTGACCCTGGCATACTTCGCACTTGGATGCTTTCGCCCTGGCATACTTCGCACTTGGATGCTTTCGCTCTTCCAGTGTGTGTGTGTGTGTCAGTGTGAGTGTCGAAGTGTAAGTGTGTCAGTGTGAGTGTCGAAGTGTAAGTGTCGAAGTGTCAGTGTTCAAAGGATTTTCCGGAAGAACCCTTCGCAATGCTTTCGGGAAAAACATTCAAAAAAAACTCTTCGGTACCTGTCACTCTTGGGCGGCTCCGTTTCGGATGCTCAAACGTCTTCCTCCACTCAACAGTCTCACTGGGCCGGCGCACCGCTTGAAGTCGCCGGCGAGATTCCTCCTCAGGGCTTACTTCGTCCGGAATTGCTCGAGCAGAATGGCCCGTCCGGGTGTGGAACACGTTGGAATCAACAAGATCCGAGACATTCAGAGAGTTGTTGAGACTGGAACTGCTTCAGGGCCTGACCCTGCAGGGGATGGTTTGGGTATGTTTGGGTATCTAGTCTGCGCTATGGGTTTGCTACCGGGGTTGCTCCAACTTCACTGGAGTCTCCCAAGAGGAGGCACGTCACAAAGGTGGCTGATGGGAGACAAAAGAGTGTTCTACTTCAGGTTCAGTTGATTCAGCTTGATCCTTTTGGGTTTGGATTCCTGGCTTGGCCGTATCAGTCCAGCCTGCAAACATCAAAAACATTGGCGCGGGACTAGCCAAAGGGGGCAGAGTGCCAATCGGATTGGGAGCACTGGTCTCCCATGTTCATCCAAGGTGGGCTTTGCATGACCCGACCTGAAAACAAGTCAAACCCAACATATGAGGCAGTGCCGGCAGCGCCCTGATTCCTGTTGTCAGGCCACCGAAATGACCAACGAACCAAGTTCGAAATGATGTCCCAAAGCAGACTCTTTGACGTCGAGAAGACCTTCTTGGCACACTCCCAGCAGTGAGGACCGGACCTCTTCCTCTCGACCTCCTCCATCCCCATCCCCATCTCAGTCATCGTCTCTTCCGAAGAGTCCCCGGGCCGGATCCCTCAGCTCGGCCGCCGCAGCCGGCGGCACCCGCGCCAGCAGATCCCGCGCGTGCAGCGGAGGAGCCGGAGCTCCGGATCGCTCCGCGGGCTGCCGCGGCCGCGCGGGTGCCTGGCACGGCTGAGGGCTCATGAACCGCCAGCGCTCCGGTGTAGCAAAACGACCTGGCAAATGCCTGGACTGCAGGAAAATCCCCTGAGCTGGAGTCTCACCAGGGAAGATGGATTCTCAATTTGTGGGAGCTGCACAGCCCCGCCTGAGCCGAAAGCGATCTCTCTCGTGGAGCAGCTAGCGGCTCTGAGGTGGCTGGCCCAGGGGAGGTCCTTAGCATTCGCTCCACAAGCATCCAGCGGATCGGACGTCGAAAGGATCCTACAAAGGGTCCATCGTGCTGATCCCTGGACTTCAGGGCTATGCGAATCAGTGAACGGGAGCAGAAATGGGGCCAGATGAAAGACCTCAAATCAGGAGGTGCCCCACTTCCAACATGAATTTGTAGCGCAAGGTTGTGCCTAGCTGCCTAGCAAATATTCCTTTGTGGGTGTGTTCTGGCCACAGTCTTTTTCCGTAAGGAAGCGATTCAAAATAATGTCTTATAACAACGTCTTAACTGTCTTTCCTATCTGGGCTTCTGTGCCTAGAAATGTCTAGACTGAGCTGCAATGCTGTAAAAACTCCATCTGGTCAGCATGTCATGGGCACCGTCCTCCCAGCAGAAACTCCACTGCAGCGGCCGCAGCTCACGCCTTTTTCCTCTCTCCTCTTCTCGGCCCGGACGTCCGGCGGGGGCAAAAGTAGACGGCTTTCTTGCGGCTCCCTGCAGAGGCGCGAACGGGCGGAACAGGTCTGGCCATCTACCAGCCGTAGGATTTCCCGTAGCCCTTCCCCCATGGGATGGGCATCTGCATGGGCACGCCCCATGACATGTCGTAACCTCCCCAGCCCTTGCCTCCCCAGGAGTCGCCCTTGCCGCCCCATCCCTTCCCCCAACCCCCCGAGCTACCCCAGTCCCCCTTGCCATAGTATCCATAGCCCATGGCTTTCATCTGCTGGACTTGGTTGCCAGCAGAGCCCAACAAAGTCACCTCCTAGCCGCAAAGAACGAGGCGGAACACCGAAAAGCTCAGCTTTTGGGATTCAGACTTGAAATGCATCGACTTGGAGCTCCCTCATCCTCGCACCAGTCAGGACCGAAGACCCTGGGCGACCAACGTGCCCGACGCGCGCCCGACCAGTGGCGGCCAGCTTCTCCGACCCCACTTCTCGGACCTGAAACCATCAAGGCTCTGAACACCTTGGTCTACCGAAAACCTCACCTCACCGTCCCAGATCACTTAAGCAAAGTGAGTCGTAGTCTGTAGTCTGTTAGTCACTATATGTATATATATACACCATATTTTATCCATATATTCTAACCTTAAACTTCCTTGAGTTATCTCTGAGGAGATCCTTATCACATCTGTGCAGAGCTTCAAAAAAGACGGCGGTTCCACACTGGTTCCAAATCCACCCGCATCAAACGCCGTCCTTGGCTGAGGGCCCCTTGTCTTCGTGGCTCACCTTGAACTTGCAAAGCCCGCCCTGTGGCCCAAAGCCACCGGGCAGCTCGGACTTCAGCACGAAAATGTCCTTGTCCGGAAAAGCCTCGCACGAGATGAAGCCATAGCCTCCACCAGGGGCCACGGACGGGGCGGCCCGGGGGGCCGGGGAGTCACCCACCATGTTCGACTTCTAGTTCTGCGAAGGGGACTAGTCACTTGTGACTCCTACCTTTTCCTTTTTGACCTCCCCTCTTTTTACAGGGAAGCTTCCAGTGGAGGCTTGGAAAGAACAAGAGCCCGACCGACCAAGACACATGCCTCGGATTGCAACGATTTCTTCATCCTTCACATACACTCATAAACTACATTGAGGATCATGCGCACCGAGTTGACAGCGGTTTCCTTCTTTTGGCCAAATTGCATTGATTCCATAATTTCGTGGCTTGAGTACAAACATGTCCTTCCTTAAAATCTGATGATTCCTGATTCCTGACATCTCATACTTACCCCCTGCCGTGCACCCCTCCCAGCCACCCGTCCCAGCCCCACAACCCCCACAACCCTCATGCCTTTGGACGGATTGAAGCTCTTGATCTCCCCGAAGTATGCTTTCTCTTCATCTGAGACTAGGACCTGCAATCTCACAAAGCCGGCGGTTTGGCACCGCGCAGGCCCTCGCACGGGCGGTTTGACCGGGCCCTCCCCCGGTTTGGGAACCCTGCGCACCCCTGAATGGAAGGAAGAAACGCGTCTTCAGGCTAGAAAGAGTTTGAAGGAGTTATCCACATCTGTTTGAGTTTGGCCGCCTGAATGTCCACACACTCACGGTGTGTTTCACACCGTCACCCTTCCCATTTTCGCGCCTCTACATTGGTGGCTTGCGCACCTTTCTCCGTCTGAGAAATCTCGAACTTCACCTGGTGTCCTTCACCGGGGCGCGGAGATGCGCGGAGCACAGAGATGCGCGGAGCACAGCGCAGCACCCACAGCGAAGCACGTGCACTACAGATGTGTGGTGTGGTTGGTGTGTGTAGTGTCCAGATGTGGCACGTTCTCATTGAGAAAACGAAGCACAAGTTTGGGCGCAACCCTTCCTTTGGATGGGCAATGGCCCTTCAAATCCTTCTTGTTCACAAAGGTGTCCTGTCCATTGCACTCAATAAAGCCCCAGCCTCACAAATGCGGAGGAGGAAGGTGACATGGTGGTGGTGTTTTCATGAGGCCAACAGGTGATCAGCGGCCAAGGAGTGGGACCATCTGAGGTTCTGGGAGGCTGGGTCTGGGTCTGGAACTGAATGAAGGAAAAAGAACCAACGGAGATCCCCGGATCAAAACATCCCGAGATCAGCGACTCGCATTTGGGCATCATGAACCCTGGAACATGTGGAATGAGACCTTGGGAGGATGGACAGTTCTCGTGGGAAGGAAGCCTAGCTTTCAAATCACCCGGTGTCTGAAGAAGAGCGATCAGTGAGAAGTTAACTTCCAGAAATGTTCTACCTCTACCACGCCATGTCTTTTTTCAGGAGGTGACTATATTCCAAAAGCATCATGCTGCTCTCCGCAGATGGGAGGCCATTGATTCTCCAGTTTGTAGATCAAAAAGCCAGGAAGAACCCTGACTGGCACGACGCAGCTCGATGAAAGCCCTAAAAAAACCTGCCCAAGCCAAGCACGCGCTTGCCCCTCTCCTTGCCAAGTGGCCCTTGTGGGGGTTGTACGACTTGATCGTGCCAGTCAGCATCGCCGGCAGCGAATTCGGGTTCTTTTGAAACACTGCGGCGGAATCGACAGGCCGAGCTTTTGCGAAGGGCCGAAGGCTGTTGTAGGTGCATCGGATCCGCCGAGAAGTCCGAACTGATCCACAATGATGCCCCTGTTGGAAAAATCGAAGAACCGATTTGGTACCATAAAGCTGGTTGTTCACTGGGGTGGCTAACCCTCTATTAACCAATAGAAACAAGCCATCCACGCTGACCTACCTCTAGAACACCAACCACCAGCACCAACGTTGTGAGAATAAGGACGGTCTCAGGCCAAGAACAACACCCTTGCAAGCAGCAACTGCTTCCCCTCAAAACCCCTCAAGGACACCCTTCAACGACTTGTTCAAATTGGAGGATTGATGTTCACAAAAATTGATCACCTTCTACATGGTTGAGGGTCCATGTGCACTTCCAGCAGCACGATGCCACACACTTCGCTCATCTTTTTCTCGCGCGGCGGGCGAATCTGCGGCGGCGTGTGTCTTGCGCGAAATAACTGAAAGCGATCGAAACAAATTGGCTGTGTACATCAAGGTCTGCTGAACTTCCGCTGTGCAAACTTTGTTGACACTGAGTCATAACGGTCATATCTTGCACCATGGTCCAAGGGCAACTTCTTGAGGAGTAGAACACCGTCACTAGATGGACGGAGTCTCATCACAGCCACTCAAGGATTTCCAAAGTACATGATACATTACTGTATATGTACCGTATGTATATATATATGTGTGTGTGTGTGTGACGTGTGTGTGTGTCAACCCTGTATTAGCAGGGGGATGGAGAGGACATGTGAGGCTCCATCCAACGAAGCTCCTCACATGATCCTAGGATATCGGCAAGGATGCTTGCCGACGTACCTGCGAGTTTTTCACGCGCTGCGACTCCACTTTTTCCTTGTTTGCTTCCATGGTGGTTGCGCATGCTAGTCCCCTAAGCCACTTTCCTCGCCGTGTTATGCAGCTTGCCTTCCGCAGGTGGGTGAGAAACATTTGTTCAATCATCTTCAAGTGATTGGACGCTTCACCTTTCTGTTCCCTCGCTTTTCTTCCACTTGGGAATTCAGTTAACTGCAAACCAATGTCAGAGTGTGAATCGCTCAGTTGTCCCACTTGGGTGCTGGGTGTGATCCTCCGCAAGGAGGCGCTGTTCTCATGCCGGAAATCGTGTAACTGCTTTCCTTTTCCACCAAACCTTGGATTCTCTTAACCGCTTCCTTTTCACTACTGGATCGACTGCCTCAACAGCCGCCGGGCTTGTACGGACAGAAACATTTAATTGCATGACTATATTTTTTGCAGCTTGCTTTGACCTTCAAGCGTGTACAGAGTCCTATTTTCCAACACAATCGATTTGCGATCAGACAGGTTCTAATTCACCACCTTTTCACGAATTTGTTCCACTGCATGCACCCCATGGGCGCCGGATTCGGCGTCGTGTGTGTGTGTGTGTGTCAACCTCTGTAACTAAGAGTTCTTTTTCCCTTTTGTTTACTTGCATTAGCAGGGGGATGGAGAGGACATGTGAGGCTCCATCCAACGAAGCTCCTCACATGATCCTAGGATATCGGCAAGGACGCTTGCCGACGTACCTGCAAGTTTTTCACACGCTGTGACTCCACTTTTCCTTGTTTGCTTCCATGGTGGTTGTGCAAGCTACTCCCCTAAACCACTTTCCTCGCCGCGTTTTTGCAGCTCGCCGCCGTGTTATGCAGCTTGCCTTCCGCAGATGAGTGAGAAACATTTGTTCAAACATCTTCAAGTGATCGGACGCTTCACCTTTCTGTTCCCTCGCTTTTCTTCCACTTGGGAATTCAGTTAACTGCAAACCAATGTCAGAGTGTGTGTGTGTGTGTGTCTGTGTTTCATTTGTAAGTACCAAACTTTTGGAAGATATTGGAAGCACTTCTGTGATTGTCCCATGCAAAAAATCCAGCTACCCTCGATTTTCACAGCGAACATGCGGGGTCGCAAGGGTGACTGGGCAAAGGCACAGCTTTAAAAGTGCGACGCCAAGCAAGAGCGCTGAGTGCTGTCAAAGATACTTTTCGGCATAAACTCTGGTGACTGCAAAGCTAGGCTTTTGGCGATGATATGTCTCCGAGTCGAAAAAAAGAATTCAGAATGGTCCCAAAAAACCCGAAAGGAACCCCTATGGGTCTCAAAACAGCTTTGAGGATTTTTTTCGTGTGAGAACCCTTGGGGAATTTATGGGCTTGAAAGATCTCAGCAGACCCGTGGGTGGGGTCAGGCTGACGCCTCTCCCCCTCTTCTCCGAAGGATGCGTTACAAGGGGGCTTCTTGGGGTGATCATGACTGTCTGCCACAAAAAATGAACACTTCAAACAACAAAACGTCTCCGGACGTCTTCACTTGCTCTTGCCTTTGCCCCACCCCTTGCCGTTTCCGCCATAGCCCTTCCCCCAGCCCTTCATCATGAGCTCCATTGGCAGGGCTGGCCACCCCTTCCCCCAGCCCTGAGGCCACATCCAAGCTTTCATCTGATGTGCTTGGTTCCCAGCTGCGCCCAACAGTTGGATCCTCAGGACCCGCGCAGCTCCGCGCAGCCGAGGTCCGGACGTCGGACGTCCAGAGGGGGTGGACGTGTGCTGGAGTGAGGGCATCGAATTCGCCTGGGAGGGATGTCCATCTGCCCCACCAGTTCCCAACATGGAAGAAAAGACACACAGACTTCGGGACGTCCTTGGACTGGCACCAGTAGTAGTAGCAGAGTAGCATGATTCAAAAAAAAACTGTGAGTGGCATGTGGGTGGTCGATACTAACGACACATCATGTCCTGAGCTCGATCTCTTTCACAAAGCATCTTGGAACCCATCCCGGTGCATCCCTGGTAGCATCCCCCATCCCGGGCGAGCTGTCTCGGCGCCGAGGAGCTGCTTGGCCGCTGGGCCCTTCTCCTCCTTGACCACCCGGAACTTGCAATGCCCACCCTCCGGCCCAAACCCTGCGGACGCGCAGGGTTGGGCGACCAGGTGCGAACATTTGGGTGCTGAGTCGCTGAAGCTACCTCATCCTGTTCATGGACAGGAATCTGCAGCAGCTTAATGCAAAAAGCACCAAGTCCCTCCACGAACGACCCAAGTTGACCAACATAGACTGTGATCTCCGGATCACAACCCCTCAATTTGGACGAACCAAACCCCACCAAACCGCTCGAACACCGCTCGAATCGAAGGCGACCGTTAGCCGCAAACGCCCCCTTTCAGACCGCCTTGGGGCAGCTCGCTCTTCAGCACAAAGACGTCCTGGTCGGGGAAAGCCTCACAGGAGATGAAGCCGTAGCCCTTCACCTGCAGTTCTGACGTCCAGTGCACGGTCTCGGGTCTTTCCGGCACCAGTACGCGCCACCCGCTTGGGATTCAGAAGTTTTGAGATGTTGAAATGGAAGATGGGTCCGATCCAGCATGGATCCTGACATCTTTGAGCTATGGGGAAGACCCAGGCAGATTCCATTCTTTCATTCCGTTTTCATGGATCTATTCTCTTGCCTTGCAACACAGACAGAGAGAGAGAGAGAGAATATCTATATGCATAAACATGAAGAAAATAGGTTATAGACAGACGGTTTTCGACTCTTATATATATATATATATCTGTGTGTGTGTATGTGTGTGTGCGCATACCTATATATATATAACATACATACATATATGTATATATACATAGTCTTATAGTTGGATTTTCTATGTGTTTAGTTGTTTGCTTTTCAGTGGGCCAAATCCATCTTCCAGCGCTTCCCCGTTTGTTGCTCCAACTCGTCGCACGCGAACTCTGAGGGCCCCGTGCCGGGTTGAAGCGCTTGATCTCTCCGAAGTAGAAGGCCTCCCGCCACGTGGGCTCGCCCACGCTCGAGCCGGCCGAACACGACGGCGTGCCGGAAGGTTCCGGAGCACGTTCCAAGGCATGTGAAGGTGTTTTTTCCATGTTTGGCGAAGATGCAAGCAAGGGGTTTCATACTGGCCACTAGGTTATGGGTGCACTGACTGCTATGGAAAGGATGTTTGGTTGCTCTCCTCTGCCTCTTCTATCCTGTTCATGTTTCAGGTTGCCTGGGTCTAAGTGTCCAAGTACTGTAACACCCTTGCAAGTAAAGGTCGCATAGAAAAGGGCAAAGTAGGGTCAGTCAGGTAGCCACCACCCAAAAAGGAAAAGGAAAAAATTGCTGCCAAAATCCTTCTCTCTCTCTCTCTCTCTCTCGCTGCAACTGCCCAAATGTTTTGCACCAGTTGTCGGCCTCTTCTGCTGGGACCAGGACTTTGACGTCCGTTGCTATGGTACCCTTCTCAGAAGTTCCCACCATGAAGGACACCTGATCACCAGCCTTAGCCGACGCTTTTCGGCCAAAACACACCTCGACCCGGAGAGGCCTCGACCCGTCGGTCTCCCCGGGGGAGCGAGGAAGTGAAGGCATATGCTGAAGGCGTCACCGATGTGCTGAAGCTGCTGAAGTGGCTTTGTGTTTGTGGTGGTGCGGTCACAACCAGGGTCTGACACACCAGGATAAGAACATGCTAAGAATGAGTCCACAACTTGGGATTGAAGATGTTGAAGGGGTTGCCACGCAATCAGCTATCAAGGAAAAGTCGCATAGCAACCCCCCGGGTCCCAAAAATGACTGGAATGCGGTGTTCAGCTTTGATGGAGTCTTGAAATCCACTTTCGGGAGGAAACCTGAGAAACGAGAGCCTTTTGATGGTCCATAAGGTCCATTGAGGGAAGACGTCCCTGATCGCCAGCACTGAGTTCGGGGTGAAACCCGGAAGCGGCTCGACCCTCCAAGTTCTTGACACACCCAGTAAAATTCACATGTCTCAAGTCTCAAACCCGTTCTTTAACTTCTTGTTGCTGGATCTGACGCCCACGCGACGAGGAGCTGTTGGGCACTGGCCTTTGAGTTCCTTCTTGTAAAGGAAGCTATCTTGGCCATTGCACTCCACGAAGCCCCATCCTCATGTCCAAGGACAGGTGTCGGTGAAAAACGGGGCTGACACACGAATGCGAGCGGTGTCCACACGACCGACCTAGAGGTGCACGACCTGTAGGTGCTCCGCGGGTTTAGGGCAGCGCAGGTGACCAAAGACGAAGTGAAATTTAAACAAAAAATGATAAGAACATATTTTTTGGTGTGAGATGTTAGAGATGTCCCTCTTTTTTTTTGCGCCCTCCCACTACATTCCCGACCACCCACCAGAAATTGTGGAGATCCATTTTCAGAGTTCCTCAACAACGGCAAAAGCTTGCAGGTCGAAGCTTCCCTTGTGCGCGTTGTAGGACTTCACGGTGCCGGTCTGCATGCTGCGCCGGTTGGCCTGGGCCTTCTCCTATCTACATCACTTGATCCATACGGACGGCAGCGTAGCAAAAGCATGCAACAACAGGCACCCATCGCGTCATTGCTGTGGCAGAGGCCACTTGGCAAACATGGCTACAACGCTACAACCGTCCCCATTGTGGGTGCATGACCGCCTTCGTGGAGCAAAGGATGACCACGATTGGCATGTGGTTCCATGCTACCATTCCACGCGATTGGCTGTTGGATGTTCTCGCGGATCGTCCGGCTTCTCCGGAAGGTTTGAGCTTCTCCGGAGCTGATCCCGAGCTGTTCACCCAGCACCTGTGGAGTCTCGTGGTCATGAGGGCAACACGTGGCTTGGTACTGAAAAGCTTCGTTCGCTCACCAGAAACCAGTTTGCTTCATCCCCCGCCCAAAAAAAATAAACAGGAAGGAACTGGGAGATCCTAGTAGCTGTCTTCACATGTCTTCACCTGCAAAAATCTCCGAATCTTCCAGCCCTCACCGGTGGGCGAACGTCGCTCGACCGGGGGATCCCCACCGAGAGGACTGCGAGCAGTCGACGGGCGTCGTGGGAGTGGAGTCCTGCACGGACGCACGGAAGCCACACACGGTCCATCATGGTCTGCCGGTCGTGCTCCCGTGGTCACCAGGGTTCCGCCGGTGAGAAAAGCACGTGGCAGCGGATCCAAAGCAAATTGTCTTTGTGCAAAGCCTCCAGGGATTTCCATGACCTTGTGTCACTTCTGGCCATCTCGCCAGCTTCACCACATGATGATTCGTTCCACGGATTCCACTGGGTTGACCACACATATGCAAATTTCATTCAGGCCCCTCACCTCTGGATGTCAGACCAAAAAGGGCCCCAAACGAAAGTCGAGAACTGGGATGTCGCCCCGTCGCCCCTCCTCGCAGTAAGCCTTGACTGACTTCAGCTGGTGCAGCATGAACAGATATGGATCCTTCACAGATCCAGGTCTGACTTGGTTTGGGCCCAGCTTTCCTTTGAAGGGAGTGGGGAAGCCTTTTTTTCATCTGTTGGGTCTGGGCCATGGGGGAACTAGGTCCACCGCCCATAGAGGGCCGTAGGTCGAAATGATCATTCTGATCACCAGCATGTCTTAGATGCACGGAATTAGATTGGGAAAATTCGCTCAGCTTTTTAAGGATTGAATGGTGTAATTACATTGGGGAACCATTTCCCAATGCACTCCTCAATAGAATTGCGACATCGGCAGTCAAAAGAAGTAGCCCCCAACTCTCGTTTTTTGACATGTTTGGAGGGTTATGTCTTCGATCATTTGCTGGATGTCTATGACCGCACGAAGTCCTTTTCAAGCTGGTGCTCTCAGGGCCCGTGTGCTCTCAGCCCGGGGTGGCAGGCGTCACAAACGGTCAGAAAACAAACTGAAAGATAATGTCTATCAAAGCTGGGTCACGCTTTCTGTGCCCTTTGACCCTGACACTGACAGGAAACTGACTTCCAGGAATCGCTCCAACTCCAGCCACGAACGGTCTAGAACACAACGGGCGTTATTATCCCGGACCCACCCCCCGCACCCCCTGTGTTTGCTCTTGCTTGCAGGTCTTGCAGCTAACCCCTGTCTGGTCTCACCTCTCATGTTTGTACATGACTGACATATTTGGCTCAATCCTGGAGAAGCCGGTTGCTTTCACGCGCGTCGATGCGCTTGACAAGCTTCCGTGCATTGGCATTGTCCTTTGGACCACTCTCGAGACAGTGTTCTTTCCAAGGGAACTCCACTGCATTACACTTCGTGTCAATAGAACCCATGCTTATCACAGGAAAAGGATGGAAAAGGCCTAAAAAAATCAAAAACCACACGAAACACCACGGCCCTCTATGGGCGGTGCTCCGACTACAGGTGCCTCCTCACTCACTCCTTGAGTCATACATTCGTGGAAAACCTCAAGTCCCAGGTCCTAGCTTTCGATTGGGGGCAAGACTGCCGATGGGGAGATAGGGCTCATCGGGTTTCTAGGACACATTGCGGTTTCCTAAAGCAATTCGCAGCTCCAGGGCTCAATATGGTTCAACTAAAACCAACCACAAACCACTAAACTTGCAGAAAATCCTGCATTGGAATGTACGGTGTTCAACGCTTCAGGGGCTTCAAAGGTGCCTTCGCCGGTTGTGGCCGGCAATCGATCGACTCTGGAGGCGCACCAAACCGTTCAGAGTCGTTCCTTGAAGCATCGAAATGCCGGAAGTAGATGTGACATGATGCGAGGACCATCTTCAACTATGATGGGACCAATGATGAACGCTGCATCTCTTCGACTTCCTCTCAGAAAATCAAGGTCCGGCGTCCGGCGCCCAAGGTCCGGCGTCCGGCGTCCCGCCTGCGGCCGCGTTTGGATCAACGCCGTCAACATGCTTTGCACCTCGGCTTCGCAAGGAAAGGGCGGCCCGGATCGGTGGTGGCTGCAGCGGGGAATCGGCGGGGAAGGTGTCTGAGCCGGCTGGTCTGCAGCCGGGCGAAAGCTCCCCTAAATGAGACCTTCCACACCTGGAACCTTGGGGAGCAGTGGAGCATCTGTCCCAGCTGTCCCCGATGCAGAAGAAAACCTCCTGATCTGCAGAATGGGGAGAGGCGAACCCATGAATCATCAATACAAACTGCCCCAAAATGCCTGAACGACCCATGGCCGTCTCCTCCCAAATCGCAGTGGCCATCTGCAGCAGCTGCACCACCCGAAAAACGCAGGCACTGACTTCAGCCCACTTCTACCAGCTTGGGCTGGGCTGCCCCTGCATATTTCAGCACGCCATGCAGCTCCAAGTAGTCCCGCGCTCCGGCTCCAGGCATCTTGGGGGTGGGCTCGGAGGCGCTACCTGAGGGCACCCGAAGACAGGCGCGCCAGGTGGCGCCACAAAGAACTGTTGAGTTTAAAGCTTGTTTTTTTTTTCACACCTACAATCCACCAGGGCTGTGGGGGCCTGGTATTCGGGCAGAATGTTCCTTAATGATTCATGGTGTTTCAGTGTTTTCTCTTCACCTGGCATGATGGGCCTCTGTCCCCCGCTTCGCGGCCCAGTTCTGCCTTCAGGACTGTCGGTGTCACTCGACGGCGGCCTCGTGAGTGGTGCGCTCCCCATGCAGTGAGAAGAAGTACCAGCCAAAGGGTGCTGAACAAATGGTTTTTCAGCGGCCGAATTGGAACAACTTGGGTCCGTGGGGGGCTTGGAGATCTCGGGAAGCTACGTTGACCTCGCTGGCGACTTCAACTCCCTGGCGTTGGAGTGAGTGAGAGTGAGACATATCGTGGACGCATTGGGAGTGATGAATTGTGGACGCCTGACCTTGGACGCCTCACCTGTGAACACCTCAAAACAACCCTGGCAGATCCCGCTGGGTGTTCCTTGCTTTCATCTCAAGGTGTTCTTTTCGGTATTGGCAGGACAATTGGGAACACCTCCTTCTCAAGTGTTCCAAAGTCGATTTTCACTAGTTGGCACTTGGCACGGACTTCAACATTGGGGTATGATACACACCCTGAAACGAACATGAAAGTGCACAATCCTCTATTCGTAGAGGAAAATAGTATTACAGGAGGCCATTGTCCACGTCCATGATTGTTGGAGGGAGGGTGGACCAATAGTCTTCTGTCTGTCAATGAAATCTCTGACCGATTGCCTGGCCCTGCTCGCCCTGCTCCCTGCCCTCACGCTTTGTCTGGCCTCACGCGCACAGCCAGTGATACGTCTGGCCGGTCCCAGAATTGCAACCCGTAGGTGTCCTGAACTCACACGAATCGCTTGTGACACACGAATCGCTTGTGATAGCCACGAATCGCTTGTGATAGCCATTCACCTTGGGAAAATATCATCGAGATCCTACATGATGGCCGTGCACCCCGCGATGCAAGTCTTTCTCCTGCTGGGGGTGTAGCACCAGCCGAGCCGATGCCAATGGCTGGAGCAAGTCGATCTTCAACCTGTCAGTCAGAATCCATCGGGGCTCCGAGAAAATTGAGAATGTGAGCTAAAAAGATTGTTTACAAGAAATCTGCAATGTGAAACAAGAGCCTAGTATAGGACAGGACATGTCTTGTGCATGTTTGTTGTTCTTTTGGTGGAGGCCCGCCAAAAAGAGACATCCAGGGATGAGAAACCTCATATAAAGTTCGACGTCCATCAATTGGTTTCGGAACGCCAGCTCTTCATTAGACACATAAGCAGCGCATGAGCCCTCCCCACAATCGCCGCGAAAGGATCCTCCACAATCATTACCTATTCAACTTGCGTATTGCTTGTAAAAGCTCTCATGCGTGTTCGCTGGTGGTCTTTGGCCCCTATAGTTATTTGTACGACATCTTACACTCACATGCGACAACATCAGGAGAAGGGAAGTACAGTACTAGAAAAATGTATAAACCTAGCAGGTCCTGTACCATCCTGTGCCGGACTTTCCTTCTGAGCTCCTCTTGCTGAGCTCCTCGTTTGGGGCGGAAAAGAGCTCCCAGCACCCCTCCCGACTCCGTCGCTCCCTTCGCGCGATCGAGCTCCCGGGCGGCTCTGTGAGCGCCTCGATGCGGCCTGAGAGGAGCGGCTGAGGAAGAGTTAAAGGACCTCTTGATGTCATCGAACTCGCGGATTTTGGACGATTTTGGATGATTTCGTTTGGAAGGCTTTTAGGGGATATTATGTGTTTGCGTGATGTGTTCCATGGCGGGTGCTTCGGAGGATCATTCTTGCCGCTTGCGCGGTTTCGATCGCGATAACATTTGATGCTTGCCAAATAGCCGCTTGCAAACTAACATGGAACCTGAGAATTGACCCGTGGAAGACCGTTGTCCGCTACAATCCAGTGGTTTTTGGGTTTCCATGTGGTCCTCTGCAGGGGAGTAGATCGTAGGCAGGTGCAGTTGGTGACTTCTTATCCTCGCCTCGGGAGGTGGAAATTGCGGACGCCCAATGGATGTCGAGTCTCTGCAGAAGACTATATAGTGTAAGAGACTGGTGCACCCCATGGCTTG